CCAGCCACTGTGTTACCAAAGTAATCCACATAAAGAAGAAATTATTACACTAGCTGTAGCTGTGGATTGCATCACCAACCCTTGTCCATACGTACCAATACCATTCATCACTTCTTGAAAAAAGATATGGGAACACACTCCAGAAACATCCTATGGGACCACCTGCAGCCATGCTCCAATGCAGAAAGGAGTCATCAAGATGGAGAGCATGCGAATTTTGAGCCAGTCAACATAGAGACATATTTTGATTTTAATAAACTTTTCCACTGTTTTTCCCTTCATTTCCAAGATGATACTGAAATCTCAAGGTGCTGGCAAATCTTTAACATATGAAGAGGGACTCTCTCCCAGCAAGTCATAAGTCTAGGCTCTTTTCTGTAGATCTTTTCCATTTGTGTACAGAAAGAAACCCAGGGGGACAGATAGAGTAATGGTTAAGAGATTGAGCTCTGAAGCCAAACTGATTTGGAATTCAGTTCCTGCTGTGTTGGCTAGCTGCATGACCCTAACCAAATCACTTAACCTCCCCAGCTTCCATGTCTCTATCTACTTAAAAATTAATAAAGTTGGCATTGGTTGAGTACTTCTTATATGCTAGAAACTATGAATGCTAAGTTGTACATGCTTCACAGATATCATCTCATTTCATCCTTACTTCAACCCTGTTATGCAGTATTATTATCATTTAATAGGTTAAGAAATAGTTTGCCAGATTATACAGCTATAAATGGGAAAGTCTGGAGTCAGACATAAGCAATCTAACTCCAAGACTCATGATTTGAATCACTCTCTTCTTATTTATTTATTTATTTATTTATTTATACAAACACTGGGTACAGTCAGCAGCACGGGAGCGTGAGAAAATTCACCAGAGCCAGAGCGGGGAGCAGAACAGGCAGAAGCACACTGCTTAGGGGAGCAGCAGGAGGCAGGAGAGGTCTGTGCACCATCACGTGAGACCCTCGCCCGGCGGCCGGGGATCGAACCGGCACTGCAGAGGCTGCGAGCATCTTCGCAGCCCAGCGCTCAACCACTGCGCCACTGGGGAGGCCCACACTCACTTCTTTATAGTGATTAAATAAGCTCATATAAATTGGGTCTCCTGCAGCATACCTGGTACAAAAACAAGTATGTTTAAGTGTTTGTTAGCACTGTCATTTTTCCTAAGAGATATCTGAGCCAGAAAACAGGTTTTGATATAGAATACCTAGTGTCTATGTGTCTTGCAATTGAACTGACAGGTCTTGGTTGTTACATAAACAATCTGTATATAACGGATTACTTGATTAACAGATGGGCTAAATGGCTGGCAACTTTTCCATTTGCCCACACAAGTGGTAAAAACTCTTCTTACTGGCAACAATGGCACATTGAGCACTAGCTAGCAAAACTGCAGGCAACTCAGATTATAAATGGACATTTCAAAAGTTCATTTGTCTATTGTTATAAACTCTGAAAACAGAGAGATAAGGTTGCAAATAATGGCTACAGTCCAAGACTATTCACAGAATTTTAGCCTACTTGAATGCTCAATAATAGAAATCATGTCACCAACCTAAGGGCAGGGCTAGGAACAAAAGTCTATGTGATATAGAATAAGAAATTGTCTTTCCTAATATAAAATTGATATTGAGTATATGAGTTATCTATTGCTGGTTAACAAACTATCCCCAAACTTAGCATATTAAAATAATAAGCATTTATTGTCTCATGGCCTTTGTGGGCCATGTGGAAGTGGTTTAGCTGGGTTATCTGCCCGGGAGCTCTCATGAGGTTTCAGTCAACATGCCCAGGCTTCTACCATCTGAAGGTTTTACTGGGACTGCAGGATCTACTTGCAGCACCGTTCATTCATGCAGCTGTTGGCAGGAGGCCTCAATTCATCACACATGGGGTTTTCAATAGGGTTGAGTTCTCTTGATATGGTAACTCTGATTTTTCCCAGTACAAATAATTCAAGAGTGAGACCATGAAGGCAGCTGCAGTGCTTTATGATCTAGTCTTAAAACTCACACACTGTCACTTCTGCCATATCCTACTCTTTATGGGCCACGTTCAATAACAGGGAATAAAGCAATGAAGCTTCACCTCTTTATTGGAAATGCATAACAGAATTTGTATACATATCTTAAAATCACCCTATCTTGTAGTTTTTGTTGTCCTCTCATCACTCTCTCCAGATACCTAGTGATAGAAAATAGTAAAAACTAATGTGGGGTGCAAAATTGCAGCTCTTCCCAACAAAATCTATTGCAAACACCCAAAACAATGCAAGCTCTTACTTCAACTTTCCTTGAGAACATCTATACCCTTTTCTTAAGTGGAATCCTATGCTTGAATCACATGCCTGAAATATTTGATTCATTTGTATCATTAGAATTTCAGGCAGTATTACAAACTGAAATTAAAACAACATTTTTTTTTAAGATTGATTTATTTATGCATACAAGAGCTGGGGTAAAGGCCAGAGGTGTGTGTGTGGGGGGGGGGTGAGAGAATCCACCAGAGACAGAGTGGGGAACAGAACAGGCAGACTGACCAAATTACACTACTGAGGGGAGCAGTGGGCGAGTCAGGAGAGGTCTGCTGCGCTATGTGGGTTGCTCCCTGGAAGGCCAGGGATCAAACATGTGCTGTAGAGGCTGCGGACAGCCTCATAGGTTGCATCTTAACCCCTTGTGCTACCAGGGAGGCCCCTAAAACAACATCTTATCTACTTCTAAGGAGGTGGACTAAGGTATTTGGGGTCAGGAAAGCAACCCTTAGTAACCTCTCTTCCTTCAGCTAACAAAGAGCTGGCTGCCCTGATTATTGAATATGCTAAGTCTAGGGGACCATGGGATCTCTGATGGTTTTCCTAAACTGAATCTGTGGCTGCGAGCTGTAGGAACATGGTGGGCATTCAGAACTGAGGGACTTCCCTGGAGCCCCCCTCAAAAAGGTGTACTTGCTTATGCAGGAACTCCCAAGTGTCATCTGAATCTGGAGGAAAGGATGTTTCCTTTAACATTTTATTGTGGGAACCTGAAACTTGGTAATCCCTGTAGACTGTTATCAAAACATTCCTAATCACTGAATAAATGAATCTGCGCTACAATCCGACTCCAGGTAGAAGACAGGGGCTTGATCTACAAGCCGAGTTCCCCTGAGTGGTGTGTTACTGCTTTTAAATCTTCCTTGAGTCTTAAACCTAAAGTTCAGAATATGATGATATAGGTGACTTTCTCAAGAAAATACGCATACCCACTAAAATTTGCATTTAAGAATCTAAGCTGAGAATCTCTAAAACTTTGGTGCATAAGGATGGTGCACCTCACTGACATTCCATTTTGCCATTCAAATTTAGATCTAAATCAGAAACCACTACTTTTTTTTTTTTTTAATTTGAGACTTTGTTGTTGTTAAACAGAAGGAGTACCTCTACTAAGTTTGCTGTGTTCAAGCTAAGGTACTGTTCTAAAGAGCTTGGCAGCAAAAGGAACCAGTCAGTGAGCACACAGAGCACAACACATTTGCTGATGAACAATCCTAGCTACACGCAGGACACAGAACCGCTGACGAGCGTTAAGAGCTCCCTCTCCAAGTTGACCTGATTGTGCAGCCAATTTTACCAACTTGCCAGAGAGGCAGCTGCTCGAGGAGAGAAGAGCAGCCTGCCCTCTCACTTAGCCTGAAAGCTCGAAATTCATTTTCTGCCGAGCACCCGCAAACAGGGTTCCCACCCAAGATTCCCAGGCCCTGCCTCGGTGGAGCTCACGCAGGCCCGCAACGCCGGCCTGGGGCTGGACCTTGGGAGTCCACCCACTTAGCCCACAGACCCCGGAGGCGTGCGCACTCGGGTCCCAGCCTGGTGGGGGCGGAAGGTTCTGCCTGCGCGTCTCCCTCCAGCAGTGGCGGGGGCTTAGGGGTAGGGAGGCGCAGGGGGTGAGGGGTGCGCAGGGGGTGAGGGGTGCACAGGGGGTGGGGGTGCACAGGGGATGGGGGCCGCAGGAGGTGGGGGGCGCAGGGGATGGGGGGCCGCAGGAGGTGGGGGGCGCAGGGGTGAGGGGGGCACAGGGGGTAGGGGGCACAGGGGATGGGGGGCCGCAGGAGGTGGGGGGCGCAGGGGATGGGGGCCGCAGGAGGTGGGGGGCGCAGGGGATGGGGGGCCGCAGGAGGTGGGGGGCGCAGGGGATGGGGGGCCGCAGGAGGTGGGGGTGCACAGGGGGTGGGGGTGCACAGGGGATGGGGGGGCCGCAGGAGGTGGGGGGCGCAGGGGATGGGGGGCCGCAGGAGGTGGGGGGCGCAGGGGATGGGGGGCCGCAGGAGGTGGGGGGGCGCAGGGGGTGGAGGGGTCGCCCCTGAGGAGCCGGGTCGCCCCTGAGGAGCCGGGTCGCCCCTGAGGAGCCGGGTCGCCCCTGAGGAGCCGGGTCGCCCCTGAGGAGCCGGGTCGCCCCTGAGGAGCCGGGTCGCCCCTGAGGAGCCGGGTCGCCCCTGAGGAGCCGGACCCGGCGCCGCCCCGCCCCTCGCGGGAGCCCCCGCCCCGCGCACGGGCCTGCGTGTCCCCGCGCCGACCCCTCCCTCGCGCCCTCGCCCGCGCGCTCAGGCGCACGCGCGCGGCCCGGCTCGGGGCGGGGAGAGGCGGCGGCCGCGGCGCTCGGCCCCAACCTGTCAGCCCCGGCGAGCGAGCGCGGAGCGGCTGCCTCTTGGGGCGCGAGGACCGCCCCGCTCCCCCGCGCCCGGGGCCGCGTCGTGCCAGCCGGCCCCTCCAGCCGGCAGGGGGCGGGGAGATGCGCGGCCGCGGGAGGCTGCGCCCCAGGTAGACACGCCGCCCCCTCGCGGAGCCCGGACGCCTCCCCGCCGGCCCTGCGCCCCCCGCCGCCCCGGGCTTCGGAACTTGCGGGCAGAGTCGGGCGCCTTTAATTTCTAACGTGTGTGGTTTCCACAGGATGGGGAGGGACGCGCGGCGCGGCCCTCGGGGGCCGGCGCTCCGGTGAAGTAGGAGCCGCCGCCCGCCTGCACCGAGCCGTTCCGCGCCGCGGCCGCTCAGCCTCTGCCATGGCCGGGGCCGGCGCGTGGAAGCGCCTCAAATCGCTGCTGAGGAAGGATGACGCCCCGCTCTTTCTGAATGACACCAGCGCCTTTGACTTCTCCGACGAGGTGGGCGACGAGGGGCTCTCTCGGTTTAACAAACTTCGAGTTGTGGTGGCCGAGGACGGGTCCGAAGCCCCGGAAAGGCCTGTTAACGGGGCGCACCCGGCCCGCCAGGCCGACGATGATTCCCTACTGGACCAGGACTTACCGATGGCCCACAGTCAGCTGAGCCTGAAGGTGGACCCCTGTGACAACTGCAGCAGGCAGAGAGAGTTGCTGAAGCAGAGAAAGGTGAAGACCAGGTTGACCATTGCTGCCGTGCTTTACTTGCTTTTCATGGTTGGAGAACTTGTAGGTGAGTTGTGTTGCCAACTCACTTTACCTTGCCTGCACAATCTTTGTCCAGCTGTGGTTACACGTGATGTGAAGTTTAGACTTTCTTTTCAGGAAGGCTGGTGGTGCTTATGGAGATAGGGCTGTCGTGATGGGGCCACATGGATCCAAAGTGCGGATCAACCTAAGGGCGAGAGAGACTTTCAGAGATAATGGGACTTTGGCTTGTAGTGCGCTCAAACTGTCATCTGCTGTGAAGTTTTGAGGCCATCCTCTTCATTTCTATCTCGTAACTTCCTCTTTTAAAAAGAAATTCTGCAGAAACACCAGGTTAATTTTTGCAGCGTTTAAAATAGTAAATGATTCTGAAATTGCTTAGAGTCATAGAACTTTACATGATGAAGGGACCTTGCTGAACACCTGCTCCACCTTGTTCACACGTCAGGAAGCTGAGGGCATGAGATGTTAAATAAGTTGTAAAAAAAAAAATACTTAAGTAGCTAATAGAAGAAGAGCCAGATCTGTGTTCCAGTTTCTGTGTTTTTTTTCTTCTGTACATTTATCTCTTTATGCCATTTCTTTTTGTGTTTATAACAAAACGATTTGCAAAATTAAATACTGCCAACTCACCTGAAAGTTTTTCACTGTAAAGAAGATCTAAAAGGAGCCAGAGGGCTTCTCCAGGTTTTATTTTTCATTTTTTTGATTATTCAAGTAATATGTCCTCACTATAGAATGCATTCTTAGTTTAGAGATTGATTTCACGGTCACAGTAGTTTAAGTGCTGAGTTCGCTTGGTGACAGTTTACAGAGTGACATGAAAGCAGGGAGATTATTCTCCCATGTTGTCTCTTAATGATGAATTATGACAAGAAGAGAGGGAGCAGTCTAGATTTCACATGCTGGCTGGAGAGTGTATGTAGGAAAATACATTTCCTACCTCACCTCACCACTTCTCCCCATGCTCACTTCAGCCATGCTGGCCTCCTTTCTCTTTACACTCATTCTGTACTACCTGCAAGGCCTGCAAATGGCAGTTCCCTCTGCCTCAGTGGCTTGTAAGATTTTTGACCTCACTATAATAATACACTATGTGACGTGTACATGCATTCATAGGTAGACACATCTACATATGTTACATATATATATAAAACAAAATTTTTATTTTATGTGATATATTTTCATTTTTTTTGACTGTGGTCCCAGCGCACTTCATTGATTCCATGGTCCACAAATGAATAAACTACTTAACACTGAATGCCTCTACCCAGATCTTCTCGTAGCGCGTTTCTTGTCATTCACATCTCATCTCAGAAAGATACCTCTGAGAAACCTTTACTGTATGACTAAAAAACCCCTCATATCCCCTATTCCCTGGCCAATTTTAAAAACCTTCAGCATCTGAGATTACCTTATTTGTCTGTTTTCTTGTTTAACACCTGTCTTCTTCACTGAATTCCCAGTACCTAGAATGACTATCACAGGGTAGATACTCAATAATTTTTTAGTTAATTGTTATTCTGCAGACAATTATAAATGACTAAGTTATAAAGAAATTAAGGGAGTGAAGCTGTGGCCAAATAAGGCATGGTCTCAGCAGACTGATTCAATGACTTGCCCAAATTCACACAACTAGAATACTGAATCATTCAGACTTGGTAGTTCTTGAACTTAATATTTAATATTTGAGGTTTAACATTAATCATATTTTCCCCTTAAAATTAGTTTATTTTGCTTAAGTTAAAGTTAAGATATAATTGTCCTGATGTACTACTTTTAAAATTTCTTATTTAGTAAAAGTTGTTTTGTGAAGGCCACAGTGAATATTTCCTCTCAAATACTATTGACAAATATGAAAATCTTTGTTAAACAATACAGAAGTGCTAGTACTTAGGCTAGACATTAACAATATTCTTCTGAACATTATTCATTAAACAGAAGAGCATTTATTAAAGTGTCAAAAGCACTTAGGAATAAAGGAAGTATGGAGAAATAAAAAATGAGGTGCTTTAGAGATTTGAAAGAGGACACTTGATTTTGAATCTTTGCCACTAACTTGGTCTGAGACATTTGACAATGTCTATTCTTTTCTTCCATTCAAGGAAGTATTTTTGAGTACTTACTATAGTCCAGGCATTGTGCCACATGTTAGAACAGAGATTATTATGATCCCTACGATCTAAACCATTTAGCCTAATAATGAGACAGATACTAAATAAACATACCATTGAATTTAGAATTCAAATGATCTTATGTGCTATGAAGAAAAAGAACAAGATATAAGATATAATATACATGATGTAAGATATAGGTAAGATATGTAAGATATAATAACCATAAGATATAATAACCATAGTTTACATGTGAGTGAGGTAAAGTTAAACTGAAAAAATAATAGTAGAAGTTATTCAGACAAAGGGAATAGAATTTTCCAAGGAAGAGGCAACATGTACAAAGGTCCTAAAACCTTCAATTCTTTAAATGGAACTAAGAAGAAGACCAGTTTGGCCGGAACGTTGTAAACTAGAGAGAAAGAGGTAAGGGGATCAGATCAGGCAGGTCTTGACAGACCATGTTAAATAAATGTAGTTTTTATTTTAAATATAGTCATGTGTTGCTTAACGATGTTTTGGTCAACAATGGACTGCATACATGATGTGTTCGCAATAAGCTACACCATATAGCCTAGGTATATAGTAGGGTATATCATCTAGGTTTGTGTAATTATACTCGAGATTTGCACAGCAGCAAAATCACCTAATGGTGCATTTCTCAGCATGATCACATCAGCAAGCTGAGCATCACTGTACAGTGGAAGTTAGTGAAGATTTTTAAGTGGAGAGTGACATGGTTGGATTTACCTGTTTAAAAGATTACTCTAGCTCTTATGTGGGGAATGAGCTGGAGGGTGCAAGAATGGAACCAAGTAAGCTCTTCCATAGGTCCAGGCAAGAAATGCTCATGTCTTTGTCTAGAGTGAATACAAAAAAATGTACCGATTAAGAAACATTCTAGAGGTAACACTGACAAAGCTGGATGGTTTGATAGGGGTGTAGTGGGAGAGCAGTGTGTCAGGAATGATTCTGAAGTTTCTCACCTGAGCAGCTGAACATAACATGTCTAGTAACATGTCTAAGGAGTTATTAGCATGAATTAGTAGTTCAAAAGTGAGATATCAATGTAGACATACAATTTGTAATGTCCTAGGAATGGGAAAAAATTATCTAGAGAGCCAATCTTGAGGAACTCCAGTTTTAGGAGCATGAAAAGTTGATATCTGTAAAGCCATTTTAAAATGGAGCCAGAGAACCAGTGCAGAGAAATTTGCTTTACTTGTCTATGAATTGGACCAAAGACCTCTGGGCCAAAAGCAAGCAATTTTTTTAAGACACTATAAAGCAAACAACTGTTTGAAAACTGATGATTGTGAACTTTGAGCTAAAGGATAGAAACATTCCCCTTTTCATCCTTTCTAGAGAATCAGTAACAAATTATGTACACTTAAGAGTAATTTAAGTCCCTTAATATTAATCAGTTCTTTCCTCTAGCTACTTACCTCATTCTTCTCTTTTTTTCCTGTAAAAATCTGACTTTCTCCCTCCTTGGGGCAAGTTTTAGGTTTTCTACCTGAGTTTCTATCTGTGTGTGCTGAATTACAATTCTTTAGTCCCAAATAAATGCACTTTGCCTTTTCCTTTCATGCTGAAGTTTCAGATTTAGATTAACAGAAGTCATGCAGAGGGCAAACATAGCTCAGAATCCAAGAAAAGAGTATTTCAAGGTGAATTAAATAAGCTGAAACTGCTGAAAAGTCTAAACTGCTAGTAAGATGAGAACTAAAATATCTTTTGGATTTAGTTACCAAGTTATTGATTACTTTAACAACTCCGTTTTTGTTGTAAATGAAAACACTTGAAGAGTGAATGCAAAAGATTTCAAGTAAAGATAGCAAACGAATTCATGCATTTAATATTACTTTTTCCTAAAACCTTTCTTAAACTATGATAAAAGAACTCTTAAAAAGTGTATATATAAATATATGTGTATATATATAATTAAATTACATAAGTGTGTATACATACATTTATATGTGTATATACATATATGCATATATATATGTATACATACCAATCCACACAGATGGGGAAAACTTGAGAGGTTTCAATAGGTAACACAAATTTGAAAAATTAGAAGGAAAACAGATAAAGAAATAGCTGATTTAGTAAACCCAATAAATCCTAAGCAAGCAGTGGGGAAAACCAAGAACCGACCAGTTTATACTACTAGTACATCAGAATCACTTATAAAACTTAAAAACATAAATTGCTGCACCAGAGTTTCTAATTAAGTGGGCCTGGGGTAAGTCCTGAGAATTTTCATTTCTAACAAGTTCCCAGGAGAACTTCATACTTCTGATCTGGGACTCAGTTGAGAGCTATTTCACTAGAGAATCCTAAATAGGCCCAAAATTGGTTGCACCAGGTACTTCTAGAAGTGTGGTTAAAGAAGAAGGCTAAAACAAGGAAAATTAGTTAAAACCTGTTTAAGAACAAATCTGATAATAGTATTAATAATATACTAATAATAGTATATTTATATAATTAGTATCCAGAGATAAGAGTAGGTCAGTCATGTATCCATGAAATAAGAACAAGCTGCTTTAGAAAGGGAATTCAGGTAAAGAAAAGATCTTTTGACCAGTAAAAGCATAAGAATAAAATTTTTCAGCAGAAAAGTAAAATGAGTTAAGGTAATCTATACAGAGGAAAGCAAACACATAGGAATTAATAATAACAGAGAAAAGCCAAGGAAATCAGTATTCATTCCAATCCCAAATAATAGAAATTTTAGAACTAGAGAAAGCAGAAGAAAGGAAATAATTAACAAAATACTTAAAGAAATTTCCCCAGAACTGAAGGGTATACATTTCTAGATTGAGTCAACCCACACTCCTGCACACTGCTGTACATTTCACTGTCTATTGGTAGGATTAAAACATTGCGTAAAAGCTAAAGTGCTAAGACAAAATTTCTCTTTATTTTTTTAGCCCCCAATTTAGTGGTTCTTAATGTTTTTTAAGGTGACTGCCTACTCAGAGAATCTATTCATAGGGATGGATCTGCTCACCAAAAACACATATACCTTTTTAAAATGGTTTGTATATAATTTCAGTATACCCCGAAGTAACTATAATGAAATAAAGATGTAGTAGTAGGCATTAATATTTTGTGGGATGTTATACATTTTTGTTTTGATTGCTAATGTTTATTATTTTAATTCTTCCCTCTCACCCTAAGGTGGATACATTGCAAATAGCCTAGCAATTATGACAGATGCACTTCATATGTTAACTGATCTCAGTGCCATCATACTGACCCTGCTTGCTTTGTGGCTGTCTTCAAAATCACCAACCAAAAGATTCACCTTTGGATTTCATCGCTTAGGTAGGTAATTGGGAATTCTTTTAGGTTTACAAGAGTAAAACCACAATGAACTAGAACCTTTGATTACTGAAATCTCTCTGGTGATAGCCTGATTGAACAAAGCTAATGAAAAGAAATGAACAAGATCTATTCAGATACCTATCTTCCAGGAACATTCAGCCCAGTCAGCTAGACAGCTTACACATATAAAATTATGTATCATTATTCTCCAAATGTAGTTCTCTACATCCTGAAGATGTTATCAGAAAAAAAGTTTACCTTCTATTTACTGAACCAAGCAAAACTATATGGCTTTAATTTGCTAATGCGTTTCAGTTGTTTTCTTCCATGTCAGGCATTCCAACCAAAGCTTTCTGGAGCCCAGGTTTAAGCATGACTATAATATATATATATATATAGTCATATATAACTCTACATATATAATATACCCTGGATGGCTGACCTTTATTGGAGCTATTCTGTCAACATAAGTCTGTAAATAATGATAAAGATTCATTGCTTAGCCAATGAAGGAGACTTTTTAAAATCAGGCTCCTAAACCTTCTTCCAAGCCTATCGATGTACTTTCCTATAAAATATAGTTTTAACAAGAACTCTGCTAGGCCAGTTTAACAGAAGCAAACTCTCAATATCTGATCAGTCATCCTTCAGGTGATGTCTCATGGACCTGCCTTCTCTTCAGCAAGAAATCTGTTAGGTTGGTAAAGTAAAATTCCCTTTGACCCTGATGTTTTCTCTTAGTAATTTTCTAGCCATCAACATTCCCTAGCCCCTTTCTTGGCTATAACTTCCCACTTGCCTAGGAAGAGTGCAGAGTAGAGCCCAGTCTTTCATGCTCTCCCCATTACAGTAGTCCCTATAAACTATCAGTAAATAGGTTACCCCCATGAATAAACTCCTCTTTACCATATTTTAATAGTATCACTGAATTTTCTTTCTTTATCAAGGCACACATTTTAATTTTCCAGTTTTGAAAAAATTCTAATATTTATTTTTGGTATTTTTCCCCTTACATTGCTACTCATTTTTGTGCAATAAATGAATAAATTCTAATATTTAAAAGGTTAAAGTCATAATGTTACATGCGTAACACTGCTTCTTTGTTATGTTTTGTGTTTTTGGTTTTTTACTTATTTTAAAAATATTTATAAAACAGGGCCTCCTTGGTAGCGCAAGGGGTTAAGTCTCAGCATTATGAAGCAATCTGCAGCCACTACAGCAAGAATTCACTCCTGGCCAGGGAGCTGACCCACATGGTGTAGCAGACCTCTCCTGTCTTGCCTGCTGCTCCCCTCAGCAGTATATTTCAGTAGATTTGCCTGTTCTGTGCCCCACTCTTGTCTCTGGTGAATCCTCTCACCCTCACCTCCACCTCTGGCCTATACCCCAGCTCTTATGTGCATAAATAAATAAATCTTTTAAAATAGATATATGACAATTTACCTAAAGTACCATGTATGACCGGATGTCATTTACTTGGAACCCCAAGGTTGACATTTAGATAACTTCAACAAAACCCATCTTAACCAGAATTAATATAGTTTTATTTTGTAGGGACTCTGGCACTGGCATGGTTTATCTATCAAACAGTTCCTCCTCTTTGTTACTTTTGAGCCTGATCTTAACTTAGCATCTGTGTCTTCTAAAATCTATGACTTGGTCTTGTAATGCAAAACTTCATGTTGTGTCTGAATGGCTGTATCCCAAGTAACTATCCAGGTCATCAGGGAAATTACCTGGTATCCCCACCCTCGGCACTCCCAGCCACTGTAGGAAAGCCCTAAAGCCCCAAGTCAGATTTTTCTGTTCTAAGTCACTGCAAAATGCATGTGGAAGTGTTCCTATAAGAAACCCTGCTGCTTACCTTCATATTATGCATTTGTTTACTGATTGCCTTGGGGTTTTTAAACAACTTCAGAATGATTTTCAGACTTCATTGTTTTGTGATTTAAATACCTGCATTTTAAGATCTAAAACTCAAGTACAGAATCATGGAATGGGGATTTTTACCTTTTCTTTGAGAGTGCATTTCATTTAATGCTGTGGTTCTTAACCTCTTTTAGGTTATAGACCCTTTGGAATTCTAATAAAAACAGTAGAATTCTCCCTTAGAAACATGGGGTATCAGAACATAGCAAGTCCTACATAAAATAAATTAAGAACCCATAATTATGAAAATTCCATTAATTGTCAAAGAAGTACTTAGTGTTTATCTGCATGCAGGCACACCTCGAAGATAGTGCAAGTTTTCTTCCAGACCTTCACAATAAAGCAAATATTGCAATAAAGCAAGTCACACCAATTTTTTGGCTTCCAAGTGCATATGAAATTTAAGTTTACACTGTACGGTAGTCTGTTAAGTCCTTAATAGCATTCTGTCTAAAAAAATTAATGTGCATACCTTAACTTAAAAAAAAATCTCTTGCTGAAAGAATGCTAACCTTTATTGAGCCTTAACCTTTTGCCAGTGGAAGGTCTTGCCTCCGTGTTGATGGCTGCTGATTTAGTCAGGGTGATGGTTGTTGAAGGCTGGAGTGACTGGCGATTGCTTAAAATAAGACAGCAATGAAGTGTGCCACATCAGAGAACTCTTCCATAAAAGATTTCTTGGTAGAATACAATGTTGGTTGGTAGCCTTTACGCCACAGAGGAACTTTTTTTAAACAATTAGCCCTCTCAAACTCTGTCACTGATACACTAAATCTGTTGCTGTCATTTCACCAATGTTCATAGCTTCTTTACCAGGAGTAGATTCCATCACCAGAAATTATTTTCCTTACTTGTTCGTTAAATACCTCATCCATTAAAGTTTGATTATACATTTTCATCAATTCAATCACATCTTCAGGCTCCACTTCTAATTTTAGTTCTCTTGTTATTTCTACCGCATCTGCAGTTGCTTTATTAATTTGAAATCTTGAACCCCTCAAGTCATCTGTGAGGGTTGGACTCAAAATCTTCCAAACACCTGTTAATGTTGATATTTTGAGCTCCTCTCATGAATCACCAATGTTCTTCATGGCATCTAGAATGGTAAATCCTTTTCCAAAATATTTTTAATTGACTTTGCCCAGTTTCCTCAAAGGATTCACTATCTGTAGTAGCCATTGCTTTACAAAATGTATTTCTTAGATAATAAGACTAGAAAGTCAAAATTACTCCTTGATTCATGGGCTGCAGAATGGGTCCCATGTTCGTAGCCATGAAAACAATGTTAATCTCCTTGTATATCTCCATCAGCGCGCTTGAGTGACTAGATGCATTTGTATAAGATGCATTTGTCTCTTTTTCTGGCAGTAAGACTCAATAATGGGCTTAAAATATTTAGTAAACTGTGTTGTAAACATATATGCCATCATCCAGGCTTTGTTGTCCCATTTGTAGAACATAAGCAAAATAGATCATTTTTAAGGGTCCTAGGATTTGGGGTATGGTAAATAAGCATTGGTTTCAACTTAGTCACCTGCTGCATTAGTCCCTCACAAGAAAGTCAGCCTGTCCTTTGACGCTTTGAATCCACGCACTGACTTCTCTCTAGCTATGAAAGTCCTAAATAGCATCTTCTTCCAATATAAAGCTGTTTCAACTACATCAAATATCTGTAGCCACCTTCCTTCCTCAGTAATCTTAGATGGAACTTCTGGATAATTTGCTACAGCTTTTACATCAGTAATTGCTGCTTCACCTTACATTTTTATTTTATGAAATGGTTCCTTAAATACCTTATAGCTTCACACTGCTAGCTTCACACTTTTCTCCCTCTGCAGCTTCCGCTGCATAGAATAAAAGAAAGTGAGGGCTGTGCTCTGGATTAGGTTTGGGATTAAGGAAATGTTGTGGATTTAGAGTAAGGGAATGTTCTGTCCTAACTCCCTTTCCTTTGCAAAAAGCAGCTTCTGTATATCCAGTTTGAGATCTGGAGGCAGCAATTTTATTACAGAATTCTACATCCTGACCAGTATATAGACACTTCTGATTTGACAAGTTTGGAGCTTAAAGAGAATGACCCCTTAACAACTACTCAGAAACTGTATTTTCTTGTTCCTTTTGAATAAAACCGAACACATTTATTTATTTATTTATTTTTAAAGATTTATTTATCTATGCATACAAGAACTAGGGTACAGGCCAGAGGTATGGGAGGGTGAGAGGAGTCACCAGAGACAGAGAGGGAAACAGAACAGGCAGCTGACTGAAATACACTGCTGAGGGGAGCAGTGGGCGAGACAGAAGAGGTCTGCTGCACCATGTGGGTATCTCCCTGGCCAGGGATCGAACTTGTGCTGCAGTGGCTGCGGACAGCTTCATAGGTTGCGTCTTTAACCCCTTGCGCCACCAGGGAGGCCTAAAACCGAACACATTTAATTGCCTTGGGATTCTACATGAAGAAGTAGAAAATTAAGTTTCTTGGAGATTTCTTCTGCACTGACAATAGTAAATATCAAGCCATAGTTTCACTGTCATTGCCATTTTATGTTTGTGTATGGGGACAGCATTCTACTTTAAAGATCACAGTTTCTGTAGGTTTTTGATTGGTATATATTTATCTATGGACTTGGTTATGGATTTTTGATTGGTGTTTACAAATACCCGTGAGAGGCAACAATGAGAAGTAATTAAGAGTACAGTCCCTGGGCCTCACTGGTGGCACTTATTCTCAGCACTATGAAGCTATCACCAGCCACTGCAACAGGAATTAGATCCCCTGCCAGGGAGCTGACCCACATGGTGCAGAGACCTCTCCTGTCTCGCCTGCTGCTCCCCTCAGCAGTGTATTTCAGTAGATATGCCTGTTCTGCTCCCCATTCTGTCTCTGGTGAATCTTCTCACCCCCCACACCTCTGGCCTACACCCCAGCTCTTATATGCATAAATAAATAAAAATAAATCTTTTTTTTTTTTTAAAAAAAAGCACAGTCCCTGAAATAAAAGTTTTGGTTCCCTCACCTTACTAGTTTGACCCTGGACAAGTTACCTAACATCTTTATGCCTCCATTTCCTGTTGGTAAAATGAGGCCAGTAATAGTGCCTGTCTCCTAGAGTTGTTAAGAATAGTGAAGGAGTTAATATCTGTAAAGCATATAGAAGAGTGCACCAGCATTTAAAAAGCAGTCTTCACTTATTCTCCTTTTATTCAGTCTTATTTATTCTCCTCTAGAAACAACTTAAAATGAATTCAAGATTTATATGTGACTTTTCTGTATCTATATAGGAATGTCACTATAAATGTGGAGCATCCAATCTTTAAATTTTTTGGTTAAACTTTATAATGTGGAAACAAATCACATTTACTATTCTAGGTGCTAGAGAGCAAACAAAGGTGTTTCACCTTGATGGTTCAAAAAGTTTTTAAAGATGTGCTTTTGAACTCAAGACTTTATGAACCTTTTTTAATTTTAGCAAAAAATTAGCCAGTCAAGGTAACTGGAAGGCTGTAGAATTAAGCCCAAGAGTCACTTTCATTCTGTTGCTATTCTCCCTTCCTTAATGTGAACTCATAGGTTGTATAAAATTATCCAGGTTTTTCTTTTTATTTTTCTTTTCTTATTACTTTATAGTGAGCTACAGTGGCAGTTCTTTCGGAGAAGAGGGGGAGCAGGATAGGCACCATATGTGAGTTATTTTTAAATGCCTGATTTACTTGACTATAAGTATGTCATTAGAAATTAGTAAAATTGAAAACCTAATGAAACCACACCATGGGAGAAAATCCCACAAGCCCTAAGGAGCTGTATATGGCACTGTCTCCCAGACAAAGGGAAATGCTATTCAAAAGGGAGCCGTCCCCATTCCCTTGCTTGCTGTCTGCTTTTATCCTTCACTATGGGTTATGAGCAAATAAGTGGCCTTTATTTATGTGAATTTTTTTCCAGTTCTTGGGCTGAAGAGGCTGAATGGGTTAGATAAAGGTAGTGATCATGTTAAAAGACTGCAGTAAGCAAAGTTGTTTGTATAATAATTAAAAAGCAAGATTTATACCTTGGCAATGCAAATCACCAGCCTAGGTTAATGGCAAAGTGACAGTGCAGGAGTCTTAGCAATGTGTAGTTCTGCTGAGCAAAGACCTCTGGCAGATCTGGCTAGATGACAATTGTCTTGAGGTAGGTATTCGGTTATAATACTAATTCTGTAGTTTGTTTTTATATCCCCTGATGCAGAAGCAGAAAGTACTCAGCTACAAAAAATCATTCCCCATTTGTAACCAAGGAAACAGTCTCTTCCTTAGTCAACAATCTAACAGCTTCTTTCCATGACAAGAGTAACACCTATTAACTATTCACATCTTAGTGAGAGTTACATCAAATCACATGAACATCTATACTCCCAGAAATGGGAGTTTTTACTAAGGCAGGAGGAGCATCTGAGTGGTGGTCAATGTTGGACTGCCAAATGTGAACTAGAGAGTACCAGGCACCGTAGGTATGGAGTAGAGTGAGTGGTAAGAAGGTAGAAAATAGGATATTATTTAGAATAGGTGGGGAAAGGATCCAAAGAAGACTGTGCAGTTTAGCTTGGCATTCTAGTGACAACAATGGTTCCTGAGAATCCTACATGATATCTTTAGCCTGAGTGTAATACAGTTGTCTTGTGCTGAGTTAAAAAACATACTAGTTTGGAAGTTCTAAGCCAATCCAACACAACCCACTGATTTTCCTTCTATTTCTTTTCTACCTTCTTTCAAATTGGAACCTCTAGTGTCCAATTGGAAGAAGGTAGAAAAGAGAAGTTAAATAAAGAAGAGAGAGTCTATCTCCACTCTCCCTGGTGATTTTTATAGACTTGTGAAACCTATCTTTAGATGCCTGCTATATATAGTTCTTTGAGGCAGTAGGAGGAATAGAAAGACAAGTGTTCTGTAATTTAAGTGACATATCCTCATTATTGGCATCATAGCGTTAGAAAAGCTAACAGATATGGTAGGCCAGTATATCTAGGCCGCACTCATGAAAGCAGCTTGCTTGGGTTGAGTGGTATTTACATAATCAAAGCAAATTAACTACTCAATCACTGAATAAGTGCTCTATAGTTACCTGCTGAGTAAGTGAATGATATATTCAGTAGTAAAGGATAGGGAGATAGGGAGTAAATATGTAAATAATACAACATAATCATCATTTTTAGTAAGTGCTATAAAGGGTTATAAGATAATGTGATGAGAATGACAGAGGACTCAAATACTTCTCATAGGAACCTTGAAACTCCGGTTTTGGCAACTTACTAATGTGTTAAGGTGTATAATAAACTTTTCATATTTTACAGTACTACTGAAACTTGATAGCCATCTCTGTTTTCTCTCATTAGCCATTCACAGCAAAACTTTATTCTCTGTGAAATTCAGTATATTCTGGTCTTTAAATATCATTGAAGCAGTACTTTTCTACTTGCTCGGTGGGATGCTGCCCTATCATGAATCTTTTAATAAAGTCAATTAGGTAGCTTAAAAAAAATAAAGATCATTGATCATAAACATTTGCTTTTGCTTTTATGCAACAGAAAGAAAAGATCCCAGCGGTGTAAAAACAAAACAAAACAAAACATTTATTCATCTTACTTCCTACTGCAGTGCTACATTCAGCCAGGTGGGGTGATTTAATTGTGTGTAAAGTAGTAAAATGTTAGAAGTACTATTATAATAGGTCTTCTAGAATTTCCATAAAAATCTCTTTGAAGAATTTTCCATTTATGGTAAATTTGTGGTCAGTCTTTTTCACCTAACTTTAACAGGATATATAATTTTCACAGAAATCTAGGGTTTCAATTCTGTATGTTATGCTCTCCTTTTGTCTTGAAAAGTTGTATTGTATGTATGTGACTGGATACCAACCCAAGGTCATAATTTGGTTGTTGATTGAAAACTTCCCTCTCTCTCAGATGTTGTGGGGAAAAGACTATCTTGCCTATGTTTATCTGCATTCCATCACATTAAAAATACTATGAAAAAATGCTAAAATACTGATTAGCCCTATTCAGTTCTAATTAATCCATATTTCACCAAAGTTTAATTTATTCACAGTGAAAGAGCTTTTTGTTGATTTTATCAGAATAAATGATCATATTACTAATCTATTAGGGTTTTTTAACTCGGTAGTATTATCTGTGCCTTACACTTTTCAATTATAAATCTCAGCTCTGAAAGTGTACTGAAATTTTTCTTTTGCATTTATCAAAGATACTTTATAGGTAATTAGAATAGAAAATTATTAAAAATGTCTTTGTTTTTCACCAAGGGAACTAAACATGAAGCACATTCCTTATTAATTGCTGGAAAAGGGATGTCGCTGATAGCAGTGTCCCAATGTGTGATTTGAAAACTATCTAGGAATCAGCTGAATTCCAGTGCTCTTAACTGAGGGCAGGCATCTGATCCTTTTTATGCAGCTCAAGTGGGTTAAAACTGTAATGTGGAGGGCCTCCCTTGGTGGCGCAGCGGTTGAGCTCTGGGCTGCAAGGCTACCTGCAGCCTCTGCAGTGCCAGTTCGATCCCTGGCCCCCGGCAGGGGTCCCACATGGTGTGACAGGACTGTCTCGCCCACTGCTCCCCTCAACAGTGTGTTTCGTCTGTCTGCCTGTTCTGCTCCCCGTCTGGCTCTGGTGAATTCTCTCGCCCTCCCGCGCTTCTGACTGTGCCCAGCGCTATAAATAAAATAATAATAATCAAACAAAAAAACTGAGTTTTCAGCTGCTGAGTTTCAGCTGCTGGCTTCAGGACCACAGTAGGCCTTCTGAGTCCTCCATCCCAAGAAACTTTGGTTTTGTTTTACTTTGACTTCCCATTTTGCTTTATTTTGAATGTGGTTTTACCTTTTTTGAGAGTTCACAAAAAAGCAATTTCAAGTGTTCAAGAAAATTATCACTGGGATGCCAGATTTAGCATGTGTGCATACATGCCACAAAAACAACTACAGGACACCTCATATGTCTGAAATATTGCATGGGACATAAATTAAAAAATTACCCTTGTTTGTCTGAAATGAAAATTTTACTGGGCATGAGTATTTTGCCTGGCAAACCTAATATCACCCAAGCCAAGACACTTTTAAAATGAAATGGGGCAGAAGGAATAATATTTATGCTAGAACAACAGGTACAAATAGGATTTTCCTGGCAAAACTGGAAAGTATGGTCAACCTAATTAGAGGGGGTTTTGAAAGAATTTTAAATTATTGGTTTTAAATTTTCCTAAGAAATCAAGTCTCTATGTTCTTTACTTATTTAACTACAGAATCTTTATACATGTAAAAAGTATTGCTTTAGTAGTTCATATTAAAAAGGATTAAGACACCTTAAAAACTATGGTAGCCTAATGACTACTTTCAACCTTGACACATAATTAAAGTTATCCTTCTTTGTGAAAAAAAGGAGGCTACTAGTTCGTGAGTAGTATAGTTTACAATTTCTTTAATTATTGATTCTTTATATTATTTAAGTTTACTTTGTTTTTTTAAAGAAAAAAATATAAATTTAATTAAAATTAAAAGATATTATGAGAAAATAGAAATTCAAGCTAGAGAGGAGAAAATATTCACAATACAATATACCTTACAAACAACATAGTGTGTATGAGTGCCTACTAGAAATTCACAATTAAAAATAGTCATTAAATTAGGTAGAAACTACAACAGTTTACTTAAAAGGCATACAGCCAATAAGCAAATTAAAACCAACGTTCAATATAATTAAATATCAGTGTAATATGAAATAAAACTAAATGAAATACCAGTACTTGCTCTACTAGAATGTTTAGTACATATACATTACATACATATAGATGTATGTAAACTTTGCCATCAGAATTACAGCATCAGACAAGAAAATATCATGTTTTTTCTGTCTTGCCTTTGGCTTAAGTCTCTTTTAACCTATTTGCTGCTTGTTTAGGAGAATTTTGTAAATAATTTATTATTCATATTTAGCTTAACCTTCTTAACTGTAGTCTTTTATCGGCTTCCCTAGCTCAACTGTAGACTAACTTCATTCTGCGAATTCATCCATAAATATTTGAGTACCTGCTACATACCAGCCACTCTACTAGTGTTATGGCATATGTCACATGGAAAAAGACTTGGTCTTATTGGGGAACTTAGAATATGTGCTTGATATGGAAGTCTCTGCACAGTTTTGTATTTCACTTGGTCTTTTCTCTCACTTCTTCAGCCCAATTTCTCTTTCAAAGTATGATGATTAATATGTGAGGAATAGGAATTATATGGTTTTTTTGGTCTTATTCCAACATCTGATACAGGATATTATTGGCATATTGGCTACATTAATGAGATGTTTTCAGGTACTTTTTCCAGCAGTTGTTGTAATTTATGCATTGTAACTAGATATATCAAAGTCCAGTTTACTTCCTGGGACCTTTGAACAGTGATCTGTCCCAGATAACAGTTTTCTTTTTAATAGTCAACAGGATTAAAGTCTGGTTTCCCAAAAGAGAAAGTTTTCTTTAAACGTATTTTCTTGAGTTTATTGTTCTAAGTGTCCATACTTTTTAAATATAATGTTAATTACTCTTTTTTTAAAAAGATTTATTTATTTATTTATACATACATACATACATACAAGCACTGGGTACAGTCAGAAGCGTGGGAGGGTGAGAGAATCCACCAGAGCCAGAGCGGGGGAACAGAACAGGCAGACTGATGAGGTACACTGCTGAGGGGAGCAGCGAGCGTGGCAGACTCGCGCCATGTGGGACCCTTGCCCATTGGGCGGGGATCGAACCGACGCCACTAGAGGTTGCGGGCAGCTTCGCAGCCCAGTGCTCAACTGTTGCGCCACCGGGGAGGCCCTAATGTTAATTACTCTTATTTGTACTTACATTGCCCGACTTTTTGTAATTTTGAAAAGATACAAAATTATTTCTAATTTATAGTCACACATAGTAGAAAATGATAGTCATGCTGTAGAAAATTCACAGAGATGACTCATGTAAACATCATCCTTTCTCTAAGCTACCCATTCTCCTCATAACCAGTTTTTATCAGTATTTTATATCTTTCCAGAGATTTCATATAAAGATCATTATTTATGTATTCCTTTTTCTTTTCATATAAATGATAACATGTTATATGCACTGTTATATAATTTGCTTAATTTTACCTAACTTTCTTAGAAAATATTCTGTGTTACAAGTTCCCTACTAATCACATTTTTTATTGTTTCCAATTGTTTGCCATTATATATGATGCTTGAGAAATGGCCTCAAAACATACCTCATTGTGCACATGTGTAACTCAATTGCCGTAAGTGTGTACAGTGCTCCCAGAAGAGGAATTCCTGGGTCAAAGCGCATTTTACTTTTTAAAATACAAATAGGGCCTGCCTGGTGGCTCAAGGGGTTAAGACACAACCTATGAAGCTGTCCTCAACCACTGCAGCACGAGTTTGATCCCCGGCCAGGGGGCTATCCACAAGGTGCAGCAGACCTCTCCTGCCTTGCCCACAGCTCCCCTCAGCAGTGTATTTCAGTCAGTCTGCCTGTTCTGTTCCCTGCTCTGTCACTGGTGAATCCTCTCACCCCCTCCCCCGCACCTCTGGCCTGTACCTCAGTTCTTGTATGCATAAATAAATCTTAAAAAAAATAAAATACAAATAGCTGTATGGTTTTTCATATTATATACTTTGTTGATTGACATGTAAGATCTTTCCAGATCTTTTTTTGATAATACAGACATAGCTACAGTGAAAAATCTTATAGATATGACTATATACATATGGATGAGTTTCTACTGGATAGATTCCTAGAATTGAGAAATATGTACATTTTACTAATTGCTTGTAACATATTATTTTTACTAATTGCTCCCCCCAAAAATAGTAGTTCTGTTTGATACTTTCACAAGTATTATATCCTTTCTAACTCCATTATCAAACTTTTTAATTTTTGCCATATTAGTAAGGCACAAAGAAATAGTATTCTCATTTTATTTATTTTTTTTTTTTTTTGAAAGATTTATTTATTTATTTATACAAGCACAGGGTACAGTCAGAAGCGCGGGAGGGTGAGAGGATTCACCAGAGCCAGAGCAGGGAGCAGAGCAGGCAGAAGGACCGAAGCACACTGCTGAGGGGAGCAGTGGGCGGCAGGAGAGGTCTGCGCGCCATGTGGGACCCTCCTCTGGTGGCCGGGGAGCAGCCGGGGATCGAACTAGTGCCGCGGAGGCCGCGGGCAGCTTCGCAACCCAGCGCTCAACCGCTGCGCCACCGGGGAGGCCCCCTCATTTTATATTTTTAAGATTTATTTATGCATACAAGAGCTGGGGTACAGGCCGGAGATGCAGGGATGAGAGGATCCACCAGAGACAGAGTGGGGAACAGAACAGGCAGACTGACTGAAAGACACTGCTGAGGGGAGCCACAGGCGAGAGACAGGAGAGGTCTGCCTTGCCATGTGGGTTTTTCCCTGGCCGGCCTGGGATCTAACTCATGCTGCAGAGGTTGCAGATTGCTTCATAGTGCGGTGCTTAACCCCTTGCGCCACCAGGGAGGCCCATAGTATTCTCATTTTAATCGTATTACAATTGATTTTGAGGAATTGGCCGTTTCTTCTTATTTTCTATATGTTACTATATGTGTCTTTACCCATTTTTCTTATGGGTTGTTTACTTTGTAATTAATTTTTTAAGTATATTTAAAAAACCATGCATGTTACAATGTGATCATGTATATTACAAGCATTTTTCTTTTTTTTTCCCACTGTGTCTATAAACATAAATAGTTTGATGCTAAGATGTAGGTGGGAAAATATGGTGGGAGTTATATAGTAGAGGATTCACATCAGTCCAACTATAAACATTTTTTAAATAAGAAAAATAATATGACAAAATAAAGGAAATGCGATATAGACAAGAGATTGTACTATATTTGGCTTGCATAAAGTGTAACAGCCATCCTGTGAATATATTTGTTGTTTTTTTTCCCTCCAGAGGTTTTGTCGGCTATGATTAGTGTGCTGTTGGTGTATATACTTATGGGATTCCTCCTGTATGAAGCTGTCCAAAGAACTATTCATATGAAATATGAAATAAATGGAGATATAATGCTTATTACTGCAGCTGTTGGAGTTGCAGTTAACATAATGTAAGCACTATTTTAAAAAATAATTTAATAGACTACTTTTTAGAATAATTTTCACAGCAAAACTGAACAGATTTCCCTTGTATCCCCTACCCTCCCACATGCATAGCCTCTCCATTGTCAACATCCCCCACCAAAGTGCTATCATTGTTTCAATTGATGAGCCTAAATTAACACATTATCACACAGAGTCCAAAATTTACATTAGGGTTCACTCTCCTCTTGCTGTTGTACTTTCTATGACTGCACAAAGTTATAATGACATGTGTCCTACCATTAGTATTACACATTCTATATTATTTTCACATCAATATTTTCAAGTACTATGAACTTAGAAACCATTATACATGTATTTAGTAATGTGCACTAATACTCTTAAATTATGTATTACATTAATTTTTCTTCCCAAATATGGTCTATATGTGGTCTGCTAATCTCTGGTCTAGTGGTTATAAGTTGAATAAAATCGAAAGTCCTTACAATATCCGTTTTAATAAGATCCTGTTTATTCCTCTAACTCATATCCTAACACTCTTGCTCATTTTATTTTAGCCACATTGACTCTCTTATTTTAAGCATACAGAGCATATTTTCAACTCAGGACCTTTACCTGCTGTTCCTTCTATCTAGAACAATACTCTTCCACCACCACTTGCTTCCTGATTTCATTCAAATCTCTGCTCAGATGGAATCTGAGAAACTGACCATTTCCCCGTCACTCTCCATTCCTTTGCAATGTTTTACTTCTCGTCAAAGCAATCACTGTGCCCTACAGTACATTATGTATGTGTGTGCCTTTCTCTCTGCATGAGAGGGACATTCACAGTGGATAAGCTGTCATATTTACTGTTTTGACCACAATGCCTGGAAGACTCCCTGCTACATAATAGGTGCTTAAACATTTATTAAATGAATTAGTTCCATGTTGCAACCCTAGGGTCTTGACTAGTAAATATTTTTATCAATGAGTAGGAAAAATAATGATGTTTTATTTTTAACAGAATGGGGTTTCTTTTGAACCAGTCTGGTCACCATCATGCCCATTCCCACTCGCTGCCTTCGAGTTCTCCTACCATGGGTTCTGGGTGTGGACACAACCATGGGCAAGATAGCCTGGCAGTGAGAGCTGCATTTGTACATGCCTTGGGGGATTTGGTACAGAGTGTTGGTGTGCTAATAGCTGCATACATCATACGATTCAAGGTAATATGATTGCTAATTTTTCTATTTTAAAATGTATTTAATTTCAGCATTAAAACTAAAGATGATTGTGTTTGTATTGAAATAGCATTGCATTATAACATTATATAAGTTTCAGGTATGCATCATTAAAAATCAGTATGAATATACATGACATTAAAGTAAAAGTGATTGTCTTTTTATCAGTATATAGGACACCAATCCAATGCCAGTCCTATTTGTTTTGCATTTATGCAAGCTTGAGTCACAAGTATAGTTTGTTGCTAACACTAAACATAATATATAGTATGTCCTTATGGGGAAACTTATGTGTGATTGGCTTTGGTAGCACGTTCACTGGAAAACTCAACGTTAAGCCTTCTAACTGAACTGCTAGGTTTTAGAATGTGCACTGGACTAGAAATCCAAAGATGTGGGTTCCTGTCTTGTCTCTGTCATGAATGCTTATACCTTGAGCAAATCCTTCAACTCTAAACTTGAGATCCCTTCTCTTTAATATTAGTGGCAAAGACCAGATAGATGATAGCTAAAATTTTGTGTACCTCTAGTATTTCATGGTTAAATCAGAGTGGGAGAGTTAGAGAAGTACAGAGTAAAACAACAGAACAAAAGATTGGACATCTATAAATGGGTCCCATGAGGAAAGGCATGTAAACATTGTAGGAAAAAGTGAAACTATTTCCCCATTGCAATATCCAAGTTCTAAAGGTGACACCTCTAACCCTGCTAAAGCAAGCTAAAAAATAGGGGAAAAAATATGCTGTGCTTTTTTGCTTTATAATCTGTTTTATGTCTGTCTATATTTAATGACGCAATTTTGATCTGTTACCTTTCAGCCAGAATACAAGATTGCTGATCCCATCTGCACATATGTATTTTCACTACTCGTGGCTTTTACAACATTCCGCATCATATGGGACACAGTAGTTATAATACTAGAAGGTAAGATTTCACTTACTTCCCCATTGTGGGTTTATTGCTTCCCTAAATCAGATTGAGGGTAGGGGTGTAGGGGGAACACTCTAGGGTAGAAGCCATGTCTTTTCCTTTGTTTTACTGATACTCTTTAGGCTCTAGTAATACTACCTTATATGTGTGTAACATTAGAAGCAATGCACTCTCCCATCTATGACCAATTTGATCCTATAGTAGATAAGAAAAGAAGGTAAGGCAGACTGTTATTCCCATTTACCAAGTAAGAAAATTGACACTCAGAGGGATAACAGAACTTGATTGAGGTCATGTTGCAAATAAACTGTGTATCTGGGACAAGATTGCAATTCTTTGGTTTTTTTTTTTTTTTTTTTTTTTTTTTTTTTTTTTTATTTTATATTTTTCATTCATTTATTTATTTATTTATACAAGCACTGGGTACAGTCAGAAGCGCGGGAGGGTGAGAGAATTCACCAGAGTCATAACGGGGAGCAGAGCAGGCAGACTGACGAAGTACACTGCTGAGGGGAGCAGCGGGCGGCAGTAGAGGTCTGTGCGCCATGTGGGACCCTCGTCTGGCAGCCAGGGATCGAACCGGTGCTGCAGAGGCTGCGGGCAGTCTCGCAACCCGGCGCTCAACTGCTGCTCCACCGGGGAGGCCCATCTTTGGTTCTTAATGCAATTATGTTTTAGTGGTTTATTAATTTGTTAATTCCCACTTAACTTGCTGCTTGGCTATATTTTATACATGTATTTGTGTTTTTAACTATATTGTTTTCAACATCCTTGCCTTGCTGATGTTATATATAAACATTAAATATAAGTTCTCAACAGTAGGTTTATCATAATTGGATGTTCCTTTCTTTCTTTTTCCTTTTTCTTCTTTTGTCTCCCCTAGCGTATTTGTTAAATACAGTATTCTGGTTTGACTGACATTTCATTTAATGAGAATGAACATTTTCATAAGAATTCATTAACCTCATATATACTGTATATGTGCATGGTTTACCCTAACATATTAATACATTTAAAAGTGTTTTTTATTTTTATTTTTTTTTAAACGAGCTCTCATTCTTTTTATTTATTTATTTATTTATTTATTTATTTATTTATTTATTTATTTATGCAAGCACTGGGTATAGTCAGAAGCGCGGGTGGGTGAGAGAATTCACCAGAGCCAGAACGGGGAGCAGAGCAGGCAGAAGGACCCAAGTACACTGCTGAGGGGAGCAGCGGGCGGCAGAAGAGGTCTGCGCGCCATGTGGGACCCTCCCTTTGGTGGCCGGGGAGCAGCCGGGGATCGAACCGGCACTGCAGAGGCTGCAGGCAGCTTCACAGCCCAGCGCTCAACCGCTGCGCCACCAGGGGAGGCCCTAAAAGTGTTTTTTAAACTGAAGTTGGTAAAGCCATTTGGTTTCTTTGACAAAAATACCCTATCAGTAATATGTAACTTTTTTCCCCAAATAAACTTTACTTATAAAGTATATATTCTAAACTAACAGGTGTGCCAAGCCATTTGAATGTAGACTCTATCAAAGAAACCTTGATGAAAATAGAAGATGTACATTCAGTGGAGAATTTAAATATCTGGTCTCTCACTTCTGGAAAACCTACTGCCATAGTACACATACAGCTAAGTATGTTGTTGACAGTAAATGCTGGGGTTGGTGGACTTCTAGCTTTGGAATTAAACATTTGTGCTTATAATTAAATAGGAAGACTTTACTGCTGGGAAGATTTGTTTTAAGGGAGGGGTGAGGCTCTTTGGAAGGTGAGTTGCAGGTCAATATTGATAGCAGAGCGATAATTTTCAATCTCTTTGAAATGATGAGATTTACAGATTGATTTTTGCCTCCCAATTAGAGTCATTAAGTATATTACCATGCTTTTTCTACACAAGAAAATCTAGACTCTGTTTTTATTTTCTGAATTTTTTTCACAGATGGAAGCTTTTTATTTTGTTTTTTATAAGAATAATACATGTGCCTGGTTTATTAAAAATGCAAAAGATGAAAGACTTGTAATTTTCTATTATTTCTCTGCCTGATAGTAGACTAGAAAGATGGGAATAATGAGAAGCTATTAATGGCTTTGTAAACTGATATACGTGTCTAACAGAATACCTTCAAGGAGGTATTCTTGATAAAAATGAAATGTTTGCAGTATATTAGGGTTATATTTCCCCTACGTCTTATTTACTAGGGTGTAACTCTGTACAATGAATAGTAATGATGTTTTCTTGACATTGCAGTTCCTGGAAGTTCATCCAAATGGGAGGAAGTACAGTCCAAAGCAAAGCATTTATTATTGAACACATTTGGCATGTATAAATGTACTATTCAACTTCAGAGTTACAGGCAAGACGTGGACAGAACTTGTGCAAACTGTCAAAGTTCCAGTCCCTAATTTTATGTACACTGGGGACTACTGCCTTATTTATGCTGAAGTCATAGACATGAGAGCAATAAATGCAAACCTAAATGAGAAAACGGAATACCTGATAGCTGTGTCCATGTAAGCACTGGTGTCTCCAAACAGTCCCTCCAGCCTGACAGTGCTAGTTTTTGTTCAATGGACAAATAAGACTTCACTATGATTTTCAGATGAAGATGTTTCCAAAACACTGTTTACAGAATGAGACATGACTCTACAGATACCTCATAGAAGACAATCCAAGTTCATCATATGACCATTATGAGAGAGTGCATGTCTTAAAGGAAGCATCAAGAATTCAGTATTTGTATCTAAAATTCCTTAAGGATCATTTTATAGCAAACCAGTGCTAGAAAACTGAATTTTTTTTTTTTTATTATGTACTCTTGGACACCCAGCTTCTAGAATTTGACACCCAACTCTTTTTACAGAAATTATTTCTCAACAGATTTCTGAAAGTACTAGTAAATATTCAGAGAGTGGAATAAGCATGTATTCCTAAGTGTTTCAGAAATGTTTCACAAATAAGTCTTATTGTTATAGTTATACTTTATAAACAACTTTTTCCAGATGTTACAGGGTTTTGAATCTCAAAGTTAACATTTTTGGCTGTTTGTAGTCTTATGAGAATCAAATCTTTACATATTGTGGTCACTGTCATTAATTAGGAAATATTTTCAATAGTATTCTGAATGGCAGAAGTTAATCTTGAAATCAATTTTCTATGTGATGATTTAAAACAAAGCAGTGAAGATGCAGTGATGCAGTGTGTCGTTTTAGGTTTAAGTGTTCCTGAAATCACTTTTATTGTTCATGAAATGATACTTACTTATGAAAGGCAGGAAACTGCAAAATGTAAACAGTGATCCTCTGTCCTTTCAAGAACGGCCTTACATTTTGTACGCAAAGTTTGCTTGATACCTTGCTTCCTTCCACCATGCCAGTTAGTTTGTGTGTGCCTTTCTGAGTAAAACTCTGGAGGGGCGAAGATTCAGTTTATAATATCCACCTCTCATGTTCATTAACCACTTTCCTGCAGAGAGAATTTCTGTTTGATATGGGTTAGGGATGCTCCATGGACTCCAGAAACACTAAGATATAATTATGGGGTTTTCCAATAATACCATAGCAGAAATGCCCAAAGAGATTAAGGGAAGCTAGTACTATAAGAAAACAAAAATTTCAGGGTTTTTGAGTATGTGAGTGAGTGAGTATGAGAGAGAGAGATTGTGTGTGTGTGTGTGTGTGTGTGTGTGTGTGTGTGTGTGTGTGTGTGTGTACGTTTTAAAGCACTGGAATAAGGATGGACATTAAATCCCTGTAGCAGGGAGGCTAAGCATAAAAGTTTCCAAACCAAAGGCAACCTAATTGGTAACAGTTGTGTTAAAGAGGCAGCTGTGTATATTCATGTTTCATATTGCAACTATTGGTTTTGAGATTATCTTTATACACATTAGTAGTTCCTATTCAAGAGAGACAAACTGTTATATCAAGAAGGATATGGTTCTTGTGCTCTTGGGAGAATCAGAGTAGAGTGATAATGTACCATACAAGTAGGTATGCAGATGACTTACAAATGAACAGGAAACATTTCATCTTTCCACGAATCCCTCACTATAAGTAAACCTGATTTACCTAAAGATTATTAAGAACTGATGGTATCTAATAAAAACAGTTGATAAGCAGTGATGGTACCTAATAAAACCCACTAAGTGTTTGCTGAACTGAACTGAAAACTTACTTTATGGGATCTTATTGTGAATCCATTTAAAACAACGATTTGACTCTTTCAAAAATTTCAGGAGCATATAAAAAACTGTTTAAATCAAAATACTCTTAAATGTAGAAGGCAACTGAAATGAGATGCATTTCTGTGAACATCTGAGCATTTATAGATTGGGGGTACCTAATGAGAAAAGAAAAGAATCTGCTTTGTAGAGTCATAGATTTCCCCCTCTCTTTAGTTGTTTCCCATACCCACATAGCTTATTGTAAGCTTTCATTTTACCTTATATTGGTCTATCTGACTTTTCATATCAACCTGCTCCTTGCAAAGTTATTTGATAAGTATTCTACAGTCCATTTGATGATTACAAAGGGTCCTTTTGTAAAATGCAGAAATGCTGAAAACTTGTGTAGAGCTCAGTTATTCTCTGCTCAAATGAGGTACGCTAAAGTTTCCTGTGCTTCTGTTTTCTGTAGCAAGAACTACAGATTTTGTACTTGAATTTTACTGGGTCAGAGATTTGAGAATTGATTTAACTACTGTAATTTCACAAAATCCACAGAGAGGCATGTCAACTTAGCAGGTATGACCAGCGGTAGCACAGCTTCTGACACAGAACATTTAGTTCACCCTTCATTTGCTGAGCTCAGCCAACTCTCAGAGAAAGAGCTCTCTCCATGGCCTTGTAAAAAGTGGTGGCTAAATTTGGATAAACCACAGCATTGCCAATTTTGCATTGGGAAAACACCACAATGGGACCACAGATAACAACAAAAACTGGGCAGTTCTTTGGTGCAATGTATTTTATTCAACATTTGCAAATAATCAGTTACTTTCTATATCAACCTGTTTTTCAAAACTCTTACCAGACACAGCCTTTTGATTTATTTTAGGAAAAGACCTATCGTCTCATTAGCAACCATGCTGCCTTAGAGTAAAAAGTGGGGGATGTAGTTGAATAAGGCTTATTTCAAAGGTCTTTGAAATGCAGCACTAGAAACGACTATAATTCCTACATTTTCCATTAGCTATGCCTTATGTAATGTGAGTGCAGATTTTTACAACTTAACAGCTCCCATCAGTATTGTTTGCCAAATCACTGGATTTCTTAATTTACTGTTTTCTTTTCAACTGAGGGTGCTTTGTTTCCATTTTCTAAAACCAGGTCTCCTGCTCTCTGGAGTCACAGTGTTCTGCTTCTGTATCTTGGACCCAGGTGTCCTCACTGGTGGTGTTTGTCTTTACTAAATTTTCCCAGAATCGACACAGGCAGGAGCAGCTACATGAGCTTTCCTTTCATTTTAATGTAGGGAAAAAAACAACTTTCAGGACAAAGCACCACTTTTAAATGTGTTTCTGGTGGGAAAGAGCCTTTTTATTAACTGCTGATTATTCCCGATCCTGACCTGTGCACACTGAGCATTACAGAATGTTCTGTGAGTGTGATCGACACAACTAGACTACACTATGCAACCATGGGGAATACCATCACTAATAAGGCTGTGGGTTGTGTGTCTCAAACAACCACTCACTACTTTTGAAAAGATAATCATTCACTTGTAAACAACCACAATTAGCTAAATTTATCTTCTTTTTCACTACAATGAATAAGGTGTTCTTAGAGAATTTGAACCCCTTTGGAATAAAGTCTTAGGCAATTTTGCTGTTGACTCTACCTTATATGTAGTGAACTTAGAGAATGTGTTCCCAGATATAAGATTCATTAATTTGGTTCAGTTTGTCTTTGAACTAAGCTTATTTAGCCCATGAGCTAGTTGGTAGTAGCCACAAATGAATAGTGACACCTCCCTCTATCCTGTGTTGAGTAGGGGAAAAAGTCTGATCTCCAAATAACTGATTAAACTTAGTATCTCTCTAACCAAAATGCCATTTGCCATCCCTAACTACAGATCTGTGTGTGAATCCCATGAGACAGGGCTTCAGACTTTTACAGATCATGCCAATCAGGGATATTTTTTGTGATGTTAATAAGGAGCACACGGATTAGAAGCATTTGTGGAAATTTCTCAGTATTGAATTGTGTGTGCACACTCAGCCCAGCCAGTCATTAAATTCTTCCATACAAAGGGTTTATTCAGCATGTTCTTCCAATCGTATTGTGAGGACCACATTTTATGATTTTAGATAAGATTGGAAAACATTTATGGACACTTTCCCAGTTAAGTCTATGACAGTGTCCACTTAAATAGTGCAAGAAAGCAGATTCTGAAATGCTGCAACACAATTGAAATGTGCCAGTATGTTAGCTTGGTACCTGGACGACTCTGTATATTTGGAAAGCTTATGCTTCTGTAAGTCTGTGTTAATATGTAAGCCATATCACAATTTGAGAAATTGTATATACTATTCCATATGCCCCTTCAGAAACCAGGTATTTTGCATATGACTGATTTTAGAAAGATTTTGAAGCTTGGGTTTGTCCTAATTTAATATCAAGGTATGGTATATGTATATGCACTGTATTTACAATTTTCAAATTGTAATTTCCTATACATTTATTAAATAAAGTATCATTTTTGCCATGTGGTTTATTAAAAAGTGCAAATGTGCAGTCCTTAAATTTCTGGGGTGTTTTATTAGGTAATAGTGTAGGCCTCGAAACATCTTAAAAAGAAAAGCGTTGGAAAATAAGCTATAACCTCTCATAATCTTAGATTGTAATACCTTCTTAGATGTTTAATTAACCTAAAAAACGACCTTCCAGATGGGATAAAAAGAGATATTTTAGAAACCTTCCTTTTTATATGTGTCACTTTTAATGTTCCTACAACATCAGCGGCAACGGCAGAAAGGAAAGAAGCCCCTGTAAAAATAAGACTGGAGAGGAGGGCCATGACGTCTGAGCCTGATGACTTGCCAGTATAGACCGGGGGTCAGCAGACTGCCTCACCCGTCACACCTGGCCCAAAGCCTGTTCTGTATGACCCAGAAGGCTGGGAATGGTCTTCACATTTTTCAATAGCTTACCAAATCAGAATATTATTTCAGGATACGAAAATTTTATGAACTTTCAATTTCAGTGGCCACAAAGTGTTTCTAGAATCCGGCTAGTAACTAGTAAAGATGGTGATGAACGGTCTGTGGCTGCATTCCTTCTGTAGTGGCAGAGTTGAGGACTTTCAACAAATGTAAAACATTTACTATCTTTCCCTTTTAGGAAGTTTCCTCCCCCCTACCATACCCTGTGGTGCATTTTATGGGTGCACTAAATTCCATGCACCCAGTGGGAATCTTCTGGGATTGGTTGATATAAGGGCTGCGTGAGTCATCAAAGGTTCTCTCCTTCCTGTCCCCTTTTTTTTTAAAGAT